TTTCATTTTACAAAATAGTACACAGCGCTTTTCCATTTCAATTCACATAAAGTATCGTTAAAATACAATAAAAACGAATTATAAAAACAACAAAAATACAAAAATAAAAACAAAGCATCAGAAAATGTCTCCTGACATGTACTTACTACTGGACCTAAGACTGTTTTCTTTGATGCTTATTATTGTTTTACGAAAACAGAGAATGCATTTTTAATACTAAATAAACCTTAAACGTATCTTCAATAAGATAATATAATTATTAATCAGTAGAGTTTAACTATTATTTAATGAAGACGACAAACAACTTCAGAAAAATAATGGTTTCTATCATTCAGTCAACATTGAAAATTAATAAAAAAAACAGTAAGAGTTTAACTATGCTTTCAGCTTCTTACTGGTGCTAAGAATCTTTTATGAAGCAAAATAAATTAAGCACTTTACTTGGAGAAGTATAAGTATTTAGGTTGTAATTTTATGAAAACAAACACATAGTCGCAATATTTGTCTTCTTATGAAATACATAGATATATATATATATATATTAAAAAGTTGGACAAGACTGACACTTCTAAAAGAAACTGAGTGACATTTATCCTCTCGTTACATTTCAATCATTTTTAAACTTACTTAGCTTTTGATCAAACTCATGACGAATAGATGAAAAATCCGTATACGATCGTATACGAAATGTCGATGACTTTTCATGTACTTTTAAGTGTTGCAGTAATTAATAAATAACAATGACCAGTTGGAAGCTATGCATATCGCTTTCTCATTACCCTTCTTTTTTTCTGCTTTATTGAATATGTAGTACTATTTAAGTATAAAAGTAAAGTTCAGGGCTACTACAAACCGTTGAAGTCGAGTTCAAGCGATAATGTGACGTATTTTGTCTCAATCACTAATGTTTCGAATATATATATATATATATTACCTTTTATTGACCTCGTAAGCTAATGTGAGTATTCTTTGATACAGCAGGATAACCCGACTCTATTTTAGACGTTAGTTCTATAAATAAAAGTACAATAAAAAGTATTGAAAACTCATTACGAGCCCATTCAACAAGTAAATATTTCTCCAGCTACATTATAATTATTAAGTTAGCCCATTAGCGGATCCAGGATATCATTGTTCTTAGAATCATGAATGTCATTATAAGTGGTAATTTTGCACCAGTAAGTGGCGTTCGACACACGGTTTCGTATTATGTATCTTGTTTTTTTGTCGGAGGAAATTATTTTAATGACGTTTTTATGACTTAAACACCCGTACTTTGCATTCTATAACTCTACATTTTTACTCATTAACTTCACCTGTAATTCACTTATGCAAATGATACTGCGGCTTTTAGCGACAACGCATATTTGGTTGATGTTCAATGGACAGGAAATACACCATTGCTCAAAGTTATTAACAAATAGGCAAACGTTATAATGATTTTATTGAGTATAACTATTACAATCTATCTCGCTTCACGTGAAATAAAAAATATCGTAAGTGGCAAAGCAACGTATAAAACAGATCATGCCCAGTTTTTGTCTATTTTCCAATAAGTATGAATGTTTTGATGGTTGTCTACAGACTGATTGAAGCTGAATTTTTTCATGACATGTTCTTAATTGTGAGATATCGAGAGCCTTCAAAGAATATAGAGGGTTGAGTACTCTTCATTAAAACGATTTGCAGATTAGGAAGTCACGTAATAATCATACTCCATATAAAGTCGGTAGAATGGAATGTATCAGAACTACATTTTAACATCGTTTGGTACTACGTAGGTAGTGCAATGCTGATCGTTATTGTGAAGGGTATGAAAAAGCCGTTTCTGACACAAAAATACAATCAGATGATATTGTTGCGTTTAGATCAGAGATTTCGAATTTCCAAGATAGAGATATCTCTTGTACTTAATGGCATTGGAAAACAAAGGAATGTGTATCAACTTAGGGCACCAGGAAGAGGCCTGTAACAAGTCGTACCCCAGCCGTGGTAAGTAACGTGTAGCGTCTTGTAACACACGATAATCCACGAACACAAAATTCAATGCCAAAAGCCTTCCACGTGCCCCAGGCAACAATACGCAACATAATGGTCTCCGTCCACAAAAACAACACACATTTATGTGTACACAAATTGCTTCCACAGAATATTTATTCAACTGTCCCATATCTCAGGCAGCTCTAGAATGAAAGGGATATTCATGCTATTTCATACGAAGATATACCGCTCAATTCACCTGAAGCGGCACCTATGGATTTCTGTGTGATCGAACTGTTAAACGAGCGCTGAGAACCCTCGATCTCGTACATTACATGGAATATGGAAACCATCCAGGTGTTAGTGACGTGCGTTTGACGTGACAACCTTAAACGAAGAGTTTTGCAATGGAAACTGCGCTTCACTAGTATTTCCAAGATATACGGTCGTCAGATAGAGCATGACTCGACGTGGCGACATGGTAAAGCTCTAAAATAGGTTTAACGTAACGTACTCACCTCTATATACAAATAATAAAGCATTAAAAGAAACCAGAATAAAATATGACTATCTATTTTATTATTAAAAATAACACCGTGCATACCGATGACGAAAATAACACTACACAGTCTAATGGTGACAATAATGCCGTACAATTGTGAACCAATTTCATTGAAATATTATTTATTTTAAAATTTATAAAAAGATAACAATCATCTTACACTTAGATAGGGTCCTTTTAATAATAATATTTCTTTAAAAAATCTTAAAAGTTTAATCACTGGTTTAAAGAAGTCTTGAAAATGTTTAAACTCTTGTCTCTAAAAGTTTCGATTATATTTAGTGACAAAAAATCCTAATAGTTAAATCGATGGATGAAATGCGTTTTTCGAAGCATCTTGATTCAGTTTAGAACCTAATCTACTAATATGTAATATAAGATTGCTACTCAAGGTATCCAAATCATTTTCTTCATGGCCGTACCCAAGATGTGCCTCATGTTTCTAATAGTAATCGTTGTAGCTAGTAATCGATAGATCAGGAATAAGGTAAAAAGTAAAGTGCGTAACATTTCTGCTCCTTTGCCATGAAATATTTTCATCTCATCTTTCCTAAAACTTTGAAAAACGCACTTGTATAGAACGTTAAGAGCGTCAAGATTCTAAGAATGAGTTAGTATATCTAGCTGCGAAGTTGAGGCGGGAAAGCCAGTACCTATATTTAGATATCAAAGATGGGAATGTAACGTACATGATGTACGTTATCTATGTGCTACTTTTACATCTGACTTGTCTCTCGACAGTCTACGCGTGCCCAACTGGCAAGGAAATGCTCAGACAAGCCTGTTTACTACACATCACTTCGTTGCTATAGTGATGGAGCTGCAAGGCTCTTCATTGGATGATACTGAAAACAGTCGCCATATAAGGAGTTCGTGAATGTATTTTCAACAGTTGTAAATGAGTAGTACAGACGAAGGAATTAAAATATCATAGTAAAATCGGTTTGATAAAGAAAGCATGTACTAACAACACCCTGATATAAATCCCTCTCTATCCCATTCCTGTCCAAATTTCCATCAGTTTGATTCATAATGGTCGAATAATTTACAAACAAGATTATTTACGTTTCTCTGAAACCCTCGGTGTTAAAGTATCCTTCCAATGAAGGCTTATGCAACAAAATGATTGGCTTACACAAAAATATATCGAATAGAAGTATTTCGAATTGCGAATTTTATATTAAGTTATTAAGAGATCTTGCATTTTAGTGGATTAATTTAAAACTACAATTTTGAAACTGGTGTTGTAGGTGCTTGTAAAACTTTTTCCTGCTTGGATTTCATTCTGCATAAAGTAATTATCGAAACTAAGCAGAATCATTCTAACGATAAAGTATCAGCTTGGGAATACTGATTAGTCGAACTGCATATTAATCATTAGAACTATATTACGCTCAATACTAATATATTGTGTATTAATATCTAATCACTAGTATTTGTCGTAAAACAGAAATTTGCTTTTATAAGTCATGTAGCATAATTTTTATTTTATTGTGCTATATAACTAGATCCCTAGAGATATAAGCAATTACGATCACTGTGCTAACATACCATGAGAAATGTAAACCAGAAATGGGGTCAACAAAAAATGGTATTTCCACTTATATACAGTATTGATTTTGTACACTGTACTTTTCAATATATCATACATTCAGATCACATTACACATTAATTATGTAATATTTATATCCTTTGACGAATCACTTGAACTACGCAGTTAGAAAAAAATAGCAACTTACTGAAACTACAGGATTTATTATTACTATTGAAAACACCTAAGTATTTACTTTGTTTAAGCTCTGACTAGATCATTTTTAGGGATTCAAAGAATCATGTTTAAAAACAATAGGTTCTAGATTATCACGACTATAATACTTATATAGTGCTAAATGGTAATGTTTCGTAGAATTTTATTACTGCTGAAAATAAATTTTTTTTCAAAGATAATGAACTGTATTGTTATAGGTTTTAGATATGTCAATAATATTTGAAGTTGTGACTTGAAATATGTTCTTAAGCAAGGAAAATGTGCATGTTAAACAGAGCTTGGCTTACAGTTTTATAACTACAATTTAAAAAATAAAATAATTCTTATTATCTAAATATAATAATGTACTTTAAGAACATGTTATAAATGTTTATCGTTTTAATATGCTTTCTAACGCATTTCTCACTGTAAACTGAGTCAACTCCATAATAGCGTGCATTCAGAGCAGAGTAGCAAGCAGTTCCTTTATCAAATTCAATTGTTAGTGACTAATTACAATTTACTTGTGAGAACATTGTTAGGGACATACAGACAGACACAGGAAGACGCTTGCGGACGGAAATGTTGTCATTTACCTGCTAGCCTAACGCAAGAAGCGGAACGAAAATACACTCTTGCTGCTTTTGGCGCGGAAACACGTAGTGTAAAACATACTATCTACTAAAATGCATTAATTCATGAAGCACCTACCTGTTGCCATATGTCTTCAAGGGATAGCTGGGAAGAGAAGTAACCGGTATCATGGACAACCTGTAATTCTCTGAAAATATTACCACTTGGTAGAATGTCCATCATGAGACGAGGGTAGAAAAGTTGACAGTCTTGCTGCTTAGTGTGTTAGAAAATGTTAAAAGATTATCCAGATACACTAAACACACACACAGAGAGGTTTAAGTCCTACTGTTTAGCATTTCTTCTATAAACCATTGTGTATTAATTTATTTATTTATTCGTGCATATATACATGCACATTTACACACACATACATATATAGCTATGCATGTTTATCTTTATATGTACATAGATATATTTATAGAGAGAGGGAAAGCACAGAGTTCGCCTGTCTACACTGCTTTCCAGTTTGCACTGTCACTGAATCATCCAAAATGCACGCATATCACGAGTGGTGAGCACGAGTCTTGTCCTTACCAAATGTACGGTTCCCGAGTTCTGTGGTTTGCGCCAATGCAAGCAGTCTTACGTCCACACACTTACTCACAACCTTAGCCTCGCTAGCAGCCTTCGCTGAATTGCCATCACTGAGTTCGAGAGTTGAGAACTTGAACCTTAGCTTTGGCATTGAAACGTACTGACAAGAAAGAACAAGTGCTCCGTAAACACTATCGTATTGAGAATGGTTCTCCACATTCCCATAACTTACAATTGTTTTATGTATTTGTCTCTATATTTGAACAAAAGGAAAGAATTACACAGATAAAAATTATTATTTTTTTAAATATTCTGTTATACATGATTATTCATATTTATCTAGAAGCTTGCTCGTGAACTTTATGAAAAGCATATCTTGAACGTCATAAAAATAGAAAACAACATTATTTTATGACAAAATGGCCAAACGAAACACCTCTCATTTACAGACTATTATACATAGCTACCGTATATCATACTTTATTAAAAAATTTAATTTTTTTATTAGACTCAGATGGTATTATTCTAACTAAACTGTCAAGTACTGGATAAAAACCAGAAATGTATAAGCACATAAATATATCAAAATAACCATCGGAAAAATAGTGCAAGTAGCCTTCACTAGGTGAATTTTGTGAAATGTGTTTCTGGTATTTTAGTTCATTTTTATTTCTAATTCGAAATTCTAAAACGTTTAGGTTTGTTCTTGTTGTTGTTTTATGGCTTTTTTAACTAAAAAGATTGTGTGTGAATGTTTGAAAACAACAAATAAAATCAACAAGTTGGTGTTTACATCTCATCTCATAATATTAATAGTTTCAAGGAAAACTTAACAGGAGTTGTACGTATACGTGTCAGGTGTACTCTATAAATAATGGGCAAGAATATCGCCTGTTACTTTAAACGTGACATCAAACTCTGTCAATGCGTTTAATTTTGTTCCGTGAGAGATAAATCAAAAACAATATATTATCTATTGCTCGATTTTATCAAGACTAATAACATAAAAGAATAGCATTTTCCACTTATATAAAAATATCATCTGAATCTGGTGTGTGTGCTTTATTTCTTCACCTGCAATCGTGATTTACAACGAGTTATTGATTTTAACAGAAGGAAAAATAAATGTCATTATGTTTTACGTTTTTGTCAAACTCTAAACACTCGAATGAACTATTTATTAGTTTTGTTTGTTTGTTATAGATTTTGCGCAAAGCTACACGAGGGCTATCTGCGCTAGCCGTCCCTAATTTAGCAGTGTAAGACTAGAGGGAAGGCAGCTAGTCATCACCAACCATCGCCAAATCTTGGGCTACTCTCTTACCAACGAATAGTGGGATTGACCGTCACATTATAACGCCCCCACGGATGAAAGGGCGAGCATGTTTGGTGTAACGGGGATTCGAACCCGCGACCCGCAGATTACTAGTCGAGTGCCCTAACCACCTGGCCATGCTGGGCCTATTTATTAGTTACGAAAACAGAAAAAAAAAAGAAGCATAGAAATACTAAACTAAACTTTACAGTAGTCAATACCATGATTATACTATAGAAGTACCTTAATTATTACATAAACAATTGAGAAATTAGAAAGCCATAAGAACTGAAAGACGACGAAGAGAACTGCTTCTCAACACTTTCGTTATAATTTTGAGATCTTGACAATGACTTTAAACTTCACCTCACTGTTTTAACATTGAAACATGTGAAAGTGAAAACACACCAAGATACTTAAACTTGTAATATCAAACCAAGCAAAACTGATAATCTAAGTTTAGTTAGAATGGCTTATGATTTACTAGTATGTGGAACAAAATTTTCATCTTAAGGCAATACATATACCAAGATAAAACTTTATAGAACATTTTTCGATATATATACCAAGATAAAACTTTATAGAACATTTTTCAATATATATACCAAGATAAAAGTCTATAGAACATTTTTCAATATATATACCAAGATAAAAGTCTATAGAACATTTTTCAATATATATACCAAGATAAAAGTCAATAGAACATTTTCCAACACATACCAAGATAAGAGTTCCTAGAACATTTTCTAATACATACTAGATAAAAGTTTATAGAAGCATTTTCCAATACATACCAAGATAAAAGTTTATAGAAGCATTTTCAATATATATACCAAGATAAAAGTTTATAGAACATTTTTCAATATATATATATATATATACCAAGATAAAAGTTTATAGAACATTTTCCAATACATACCAAGATAAAATTTTATAGAATCATTTTCCTGTGACACGTATATAGATAAGCGACTAAATACCAACACGACAGATTTGACTTGAACGAGCTTTAGTTTATTGATAAGAAAACTTTATTTTATATGAGAATTGTGTTTGTCAATAGCCTTACTTAAGCTATTGAAATAAACATCTACATCCTAGTCACATATGGTGTATTTCAATATTTGACTCCATTAACGGAAAAACACTTTTTGAATAAAATGTTTTTACAAAGACTAGAAAACTAGTTACGCTGTTCAGTTCTACATAGTCTTCTGAAAAGACCCTGTGGGACTGAAGAGGACACATAAAAGTGTCAAAACTAGTTTTCAGGTCTTTGTACTAACACTTGATTTGGTTACCACCTTGACATTTGCATGATATTTCATACGGGTCTGTAGCCACCTTGTGATAAAACCATTAAGTCGTGGAAGCAGCAAAAACGAATAAACTGGTATGAAATAATCAGAAGTTTTCAATGTCCGTAATTTGTCTTTATCTTGCTGCACACGGTGTTCAGACTTAAACATGCATTTTAACCATAAGTACAAGATTATTCTAAGAACTAGCTTTAGCAGTTAGTTTCAACAGTATAAAACATCACGTACAACACACTTAGTAACATCATATTTCAGTTCTACAAACGAATTATTTTCACTTAAATATTCATTATATAATGGTGGTTATCTGAAACTTATTGTTATTATCCCGTTCTTTATGCAAACATTTGTAAGTATGTTTAATTTAAAAACATGGAGTATTAAGATTTTAATCTGGTTTTACTTAAGTGATCCTGATATAAAACCATCAAACTTAAAACAAAAACATTTCTATGTTGTTGTTTTTATGATAGGTTTCAGACTGAAATTGTCCTCCTTGTGGCTCAGTGGCAGACTTAAGGGATTATAATGCTAAAATTTAGGGCTCCATCCCTGCGGTGAGCACAACGCATACAGCTTATTGTGCTTAACAACAATTACACTGAAATTTATTAATATCGTTTTGCACTAAAGTATTTAGAAAACGTACTTGATATCTTTTTTTTTCTGAGACTCTGGTGTAAATTCAATACTACCTTTTCAACTGTTTCAAAAATTTGAGACATTTTTAGGTGTTTGTAAGATGATTAAAATATCATCTGTAATACAAATATTTAAAAGCTATGAGACATTGTTCTAGACAGTATTTTTAGGGAAAACAAATAGCTTGGGAAACAGCCATTGTTCATCCAATAGCCACGCCCTCTATGTGATCATAAAGAATGTTATTAAATATGAAATGAGATTTCTTGGCGGTAAAAAACCCCGTGTTTTAAAGCGCCCGTTCTTAAGAACATCACATTTAGTTTTCACCATGATTAAATACTAAATCTGCATTTAGTTGTATTGGCCTATTCTAGAGGCATGTTGGTATATAAAAACTTTATTTCAATATTGACGCATTAAACTATTAAGCTTTAAACTTTGTACTTCACTCGAAAATTCTACATTATCCTTTAAAGTGCGTACATTTCTCAAAGATTTTTTCAAAGTGATTTCTTCTTTGTATGCTTTGATAACAAATAAATTACAGGATGACTTCTTGACAGTTTCATATTTGATTATTATATTTGGGTTAATTCATTATTCTTTTTTAAATTTCAGTAAGTACTTTAGTAGTTAATTCTCTTTAATGTTAGTGGACTCATGACTTGCTTTTACCAACTGCGTTTTATTATTTGGAATAATATTAGATTTATGTAAATAACCTAATTTATCGAATATAACCATATTATTTCATTTTTCAAACTTTATCATAACTATATTCTCACTATTTATAAGATTTTCATTTTAATTCATTTTATTGGTCGATTAGCTTTACTATTACTGAATGATTCATTACTATTTAACTACATGGATGTTTCAATAATTGGTGAAATTACAAAAACCTTTCCTACCTTGTGGTTTTAGTATAGTAAATTTCTGTTCTTTGACATTTAACTTATAATTTAGGTAATTAAACATTGCAGTATATAACTGTAATATAAATAAATTTTTTGCTTGATGTCGCCCTTTAATTTAATTTATCTAGATGTATTTTTATATGTTTAAATAAGATTTTATTACTGGGCCCACTAATCTACTTATGTAAATAATAGAAAATCCGGTTTGCCTTCTAGAGTTTTGTGCAAAGCTACTCAAGGACTACTTACGCATAGCCGTCCTAATTTTGATCTGATAGACTAACAGAGAAAGCGGGTAGTCAGAAACACACACTGCCAATTCTTGGATTACCCTTGTCTAACTGCGAGTGCGTTTTTGCGGGAACTGAATGCGAGCCATGAACCCTCGACAACCACTAAATCATTTTGCACCGCCTCAGTAGCCTATCGTTTAAATAAGGAAAATCCTTAGTTATTTCAAGTTATAGAATTTTATTTAAATATATTTTGCATAATATCAAAATTCAGTAACTAAGACCCCTTACATTATTAATAGTTCCAATTTAACATCTATATCATCTAAGTGCATTTAAAATTTACTTATGAAGGATGTGGTATTGACTGCATTAGAAAAAAAGTACCAACCACAAAATCGTATGAAATTTGTGCACAACTTTGTGCAACTTTGTCATTTCAGCTTTTACGATATTAAAGTCGAGAACTTTTTAAAACACATAAAGCATAAAATTTTATACTAGGTTTTGAAGATGCTAAAACAACAGATTGGAAGAATAAAACTACATCAATAATTTACTTAAAG